ATTGCAGAGAGAGAGAGAGAGGGCAAGAGAGACAAAGGGGGGGAGAGAGAGAGAGAGAGAGAGAGAGAGAGAGAGAGAGAGAGAGAGAGAGAGAGAGAGAGAGAGAGAAAGAGAGAGAAAGAGAGTCAGTCAGTCAGACTAAATTGTATATATATATATATGTGATGTGATGTGCAATGAGTGATGTGTGTGTGTTTGAGCACACACACGCACCCACACGCACCCGCACATGCATACGCTCGCTCGCACGCACGCACGCACGCACGCACACAGAGAGGGAGAGAGAGAAAGAGAGTTTAAGAATGTGCGTTAGTTCAACATGTCTTGATAATAAAACGAAAATTATATGATTAGTTATAGTGATCTTTAGTGATCACATCTTGTTGCTCATGAAGAGAATAATTATACTAAAAAGATAATTGTCGTAGTCAGAATGAAGGCTGTACATGTACTCAAAAGTGCCTCAAATACAATCTCCTGCGATCTACATTTTCAAAATTTTCTGTGGGAGGACCCCCTGACCCCCCGCCTGTGTGCGTACACATCCATTTCACCCTAGCTACGCCCCTGGAACATATAACACTGTCACTGTAGTCAGAGCTCAGAATTTTGATACTATTTTTACAGGAATACAAGCTGATGTATGGAATGTTGTTCTCAATCAAGTCTTTCATCAATAGGATATCTCCAGTAGACCTGTATCCTTATGCAATAATATTAATGTAAATTCATTTTTCTTTAGAGATTACTTGCTTATAAAGAGAAGGTTATAATGAGGTAAGATGAGTAGTGATTTAGAACGTTAGAACAATGCATCTGTTGGAGCATTAATATCTTAGCATCTTGTGCAGTAATGTTATATTCAGTTTTGCATGTATACACTCAACAATTCCAATACTGACTAACCCTAGGACCGTTCACTTAGTTTTGTTTTCTGTGAAGTTGGGTTTACAAGGGGCCTATTCCAGGATTATTGCACCAGGGAGAAATACACATTTTACATACCAGGGTATTTGTTTATTTAGCGTATATGTCGTGATATTTTCAATAATGCTCAATAGCCGAGCTCGTAGAATGCGAGCGTTACGTCTGATAGGTCGTTGGTTAACATGTAACGCTCAATGTGTAATCGTAAAAGTTTAGTGAATTACAGCATTTGTAATGCTGCTGTCGATAGACCACAGCCGCGTGTAAATGGCCTATACTAAGCCATTCAAGGCCAAGGCTTACCGTGAAGCACACTGCATGATTATAGCTGGCATTTGACTGTAATGTTATACTGCAAGTTGCAGTACGGTAGAGAGTTAGTGTGAAATTTAACCAGCTTATCTGGTATTTATGATGCCAATGATTGGATTACAGGATTTATTACCGGCTGAAGTGACCAGCCGACCTTTGTGTGAGAGTTAACCACATTGGTTTTATCAGAAAATGGCAGTTAGATCCGGTCACAGTAGTAAGTTAATTTCTGACGTTCGGTAATGTGTCATTATGCATTTATGCATATCTTTATTTATGTCTTAGCATCTTTATGTATCTATGAATGACAGAATGTCAACTCAAAATGGATTATTTATGTTTAACTGAGATTATGCAATATACGAATGGGTGCTTTGTGTTTCTGTTGAGTGTTGTTTAAAGAACCTCAACCTAAAGCTGTTTTGTTTATTCACTCTTCACAGAATTGAATGCTGATCAATAAAGGATCTCATACATTAATACCGGGTGTAACTGCGTTCTTGTTCGTCTACATCGAGCCTTCCACTGATCTAGTCAATATATTAATTAGTACCTTGACGGTACGTAATTTCCCGAAAACACGACACGTTGTATACACACTACACAGTGTCACTGTCAGTACTCACCATAGCTTCCTACAACGAAAACTGTTACTATAAATGCGAGCATTTTAATCTTTTTGGAGCACACAAAATTGTTTCTTGACATAACGAAATCAGAAGCGTAGGTCCGTATGCGACAATCCAAAAATCGAAGGCATTGCGTAACCGCAACCGGAACACTTAAATCGACATGAGTGTGAGAAAATCGCACATAGATCGCTACGATAAGGGTCTAAACTGGTTTACGTCCGCGTTTAGTATTATTCTCACTCTCCGGTTTAGGTTGATTCTTCTGTTATTCTTCGGTGTTTGGGATTTATTGATGTAAGCGCCATCTACCAGTAATATGCTGCACTATACATAGACTGGCAACTTCAATCTTTATATAACTAATAGTCGTCAAAAGTGACGCTAGAGTCTCATCTATAAACCAATACGCACTATTTTAATTACAACAATTACAAATTCTTATAAGTTATATTACAACTTAGAAATAGTTGAAAAATCACATTTACTACTTCCATTTATTGTATACTATGTAAACTATATCCAAGCTTTCACACTGTCTGTTTGGTGTTTAAGTAGCCCAAGACGTGTATGCGAACTGCTTATGCTCATGCTGTCGCGTATTTATATAAACATGTCCGCTATTCTCCACACACGTTCAGAAGTGTAAACAGCTGAAAATGTGTAAGGCTGCTCATGATCATCACCACTAGGCACTACTACTACTACTACTAGTACTAGTGAAAAAGGTTAAGTGCTCAACATAGTTATAATTTTCAGCTGTATTTACTTTTGACAATCACAGCACACTCATGCAATGTATTTACATCTCAGTGTGTAGGCGTATTTGACTCCTCGAGTCTTAACAATACAAATTACAACTCTGACTCTCTTCAAACTTCCAACTAGTTCGTTCCAGTGGCAGTGCTTCCACTTCCAAGTTCTATTTCCAGGCCCTACCCAATCGGAATCCATCTATAAACGACTAAGGCCATGAGAATGAAAAATCCGGTTTACCGTCCAAGGAATTTTAAAAAGTGATGAGGCTTTTTTTCATTATTCATTATTCATTATTTAATTTTTCAGGCTGAAATACAGTGAAATACAGTACAGACAATAAACAATCTAGCCGCCCCTCTTTCCCACTTCGCAGAGCACTACATCACGTTGATCTTATATGTCTCTGGTACCAGGGTACGTTCCGGCAGTACCCTGGAGGACATAGACCCTCTCAGCCCTAGTGTGGTGGAGTAAATATTGACTATCACCAGTCTATCGTATAGTTTTCACACTGACTGTCACTGTACATCATCATGATCATGATGCATAAGACTCGAGAATGAATGTACTATTTCTCTGTGGACATTTTGTATTTACAAGAGAATTTATTGTGTGTTCTCCGTGATCTGCATGATTCCACCTTGATATATAGCGCCAGCGCTAGGGTGACTCGGCTTGGTTCCTGTTTTAAAGACACCTTTTCTGTTTAGAAATTTTCTTACCAATAGATGGTGGCACTAGTATCAAATCTTAGTCCATGACGTTCGTCAGTAACCTGAGTGTGTGTTTGTTGGAGCGGGATTCCACTGATGATCCCTGGATCTCCACTGGATCAAGTGATCCTGCACATTTGTTTGGGCCAATCAGTAATTACAAGTCCTCAGTGATCCGGATTACAAATTCCTGAACCTGCTTGTGAGGTGGACTTCTACCATGGTCCATAGTCATCAAGCGGCGATACCTCCCTAGCGTGTACAACGGAAAAACGGGGAAAATCAGTGCTATTTTCTACCGCACTACATTATTCTACTTTGGGCCTGCGAGTCTAGAATATATCTTCATGGTTCTTGCATTACCGAATTCTTGTGCTCTCTAAAACAAGACCAACCGCTGTCAATCGGAGATACTCCTAGCGACGCTATCGCTCCGTAACGCTCCCCTCCCACATGCCAAAGCCACCTAATCCACTCTGCCAAATCCGACTCGCGGCTTTAAGCTGCTTCGTGAAATTCGGTTTTTCCGCGATAACTTTAGTGATGGACGGGCTTCGGTATCCATCAGGTGGACATTCGGTGGCCATCGGCCCTCTGGCCTATCTTTCCATTATTCTTCTAGCACGGCTAACGCCCGTCCTGATGGAGCCGACCCATCAAGTTTACCGGAACGCAGCTCAGTTACTAAGTGTAGTAACAGTACCAAAATTTGGGGCATATGCCATCAATTATCAGCGCTCCAATGGTTGACAGGAACACGCATAGTCCAAATGCTTGACTCCGCTGTAGACTGGTTGGCAGCAGTGGATTCGAGGTGGCGTTTGGCGATGTGGAGGGGAGGTTTAGGAGCCGATATCTCCGCCTTAGCGACGTACTCGTATTGAAGC